CGCTGGAGCGGTACGTACCTATTTATCTACTTGCATTTTGACGTGCTTTCGAACTGCTAGATGGGCAGGAGCAGGGACCGAGCAATGGGAGCTCACCCTGTCGCGGGGATTTGAACTGCCGACCTTCTCATCGGCAAGCCCTAGGCTCTGAGTTTAACCCACAGCGCCACCCGCATTCCAAACCTGAGGTACCACTGTATATATTTTGAAGATTTATACTATACCTTCCAATCACATCATTCTCAATGTGACTTAGAAACAACAGGTTATTTTTACACCCACCCACCCTGAAAAAAGCCTCTCTCATACATATGCACTCCCAGCAGCTATCCCTGATGGATCGGGCCAGAACATCTTCTCTGTGTGTTTTGCAGGCTGAGGAAAATGGGTAGTTGGGAGCAGAGTGTCCTATCTGGCAGGGAGGGAGGAAGGAAGGTCTCTGCAGCTGCTGCTTCTCTAACCAACACTTGGGCCAAGTTGATCTTCCCTTTGCCATGATGTTCTTCCTGGGAGGCAGGATGCACAGACTCCCAATGATCCTTGGTCGCCTGACCAGTGGCAAATGTCACTATCTCTACCCTGTGTCTCTTTGAATAACCTTACAATGCACACACATGTTTTATTTCAGTTTGACGCCATGCAGACTGAAACAGCTGGATTTCTCTAACATGCACTCCTCTTCCCAAGGGATGCTTACATTCATTCAGTCAAGCAAACAATGGACCTTTTAGTTTTGATTTATATTTCCTTAATGGTTTGGCTTTGTTTTATTAAAAGCAGCGACCGAGCATAGCCATTCTAAGTAGAGTGACTCTTATTTGGAAAGCGCATTTAATATGTACATATCCCGAGCAGTGCACGCTTAAGTAATGTAGCTGAATGTTTGAGGAACAACAGTGTAGTGTTTGTGGGAGAAGTGGGTGGAATCCCTAAGGAGAAGAGTCAAGCTTGTCTAACAGAGAAAGCCATTCTCCACCATGACATCCATCTCATTCGACCTTAAATGGAGAAATCAAACCATTATTCTAGCAAAATTCTCTGACCTAAATCCACAGGCCCAGCAACCAGGGAGCAGTCAAACAAGAACCCAAATTGCTCGGAGCAAGGTTTCTGTGGCCTTAGGAGTGCAGGAAGCTGCCTCACACCAAATTAGACTATTGATCCATCTCAATATGGTTGACACAAACTAGCAGCTGCTCTCAGGGTGTCAGACAAGATGTTTCTTCCATGCTCTCTCTGGAGATGCCAGGTATTGGGTCCAGAACCTTTTGTATGAAAAGCACCAAACTGTGGGTAGAGCTGCTGTATTGGTGCAACAGACTCTTCACAACATAGAACCATGGAGGATGTTGACATTTTGAGCATTGTGTTTTGAAGTGTTTTTCCCCACAAACCAGCTTCTATCTACAACTTCTGTCCAGGTAATTTGTTCTATTTCTCCATGTGTCTGCCCTTTAAGGATGAGGTGGGGTGTGTGTGTTTGTATGTGTGTGTGTGTGTGTGTGTGTGTGTGTGTGCAGTTTGGTAACATGACTTATTAGCTTTGAATTTACTCTAGTTCCTTTATTTCGAGCCAGTTGGGTTACAGAGGCAGAAATCAAGACATGTGTATAGCCTGTGGCCAAACAACTTTAATAGGCTTAAGGTTTATGCCACAAATGAGAAAGCCGAGTTATTATTGTCTGGTGATTGGAATAAATTCAACCTGGAGTGGAAAAACAGTGAAAAGAAGTAATGAGAAAAAGAGAGAGAGAGATTGGCAAGCAACAAGGTGTGTGTGCATGTAAGAAGCCCAAAGTTTTTTGTTTTGTTTTTAGTTAGGAATATTGTCTTAATCCAGTATTCAGGGAATATTAAACTTCTTAGATCAAAGACATATATCCTGCTAAATTGCAACATGATCAAAGTCTCCCCCTCTCCCCCTCCCCCACAGATATCTCGCCAGAAAAAACCTTTTAGAAATCCATGTTCTACATCCCTTCACTTTGCTCTGATCATTTTATAACTCTTGTGGTTACATCTGCAGAGTCTTGTGTGCCTCTTGTTAAGGAAAGACACATACGTCCATGAATAATCTATTTTTTAAAGTTACCCCCTCTAACTATGCAGCAAGAGGCCTTGAATTAACAGAGTAAAATAAGAAACATTTTGTGGCCCAGTGGGGCTCAATAACTCTGGAAGTAGTTATTTAAAACCGCAAGACATCTGTACACTTTATTGCTGTGTTTTGACCTTTTCTGCAAATGGTATCTGATACCAGACAATGCTGGAAGTTGGAAGAGTGTTCCAATCTGATATGGATTAAGCATTCCTGTATAAAAGAGAAACTTGCTGTCTGGTTACTCTTACTCATATTATTCGTTCAGTTCTATATGGTTTTATATTTTAAAGGGAAAAAATCTCAAAGCAGTTTACAACCTACATCAAATTAAAACATCAAATAAAACAATCCAGTATGAAACATAATCCAGTAGTCAAACATAAAAAGTATAACATTCAAAGAAACATGAGGGTGTTCAAGCGATCTTAGGATCCAGGCCATTTAAAATGGTCTAATTGTTTCTTGTTTGCAACCCCCCCCCCCAAAAAAAAGACCTCACCCACCCTCATTTGTGTGCATTTTGTAATGGTAGTAAATACAAAACGGCTGGAAGACTTCCTGTTTCTAGTATTGCATTTAGTAGTACATGTATAAAATGTACCTTATATGCTCATTGATTCCTTGCAGTGAAAGAGTGTTCTGATTGCCCTCTTGTATATTTGCTGTGGTTGCTGTTTAAACAGCAGTTATGATTGCAAATATAGATCTCAATGAAATTCTTTTTATTTCTTGCTTTCCTCACCTGTGTCTCGGAAATAGGTGACTGAGCACTCCGCAGGAAACAGAGCACCCAATTTAAATAACCATGTGGATCAATATTCTTCCCATGTTAAAAATGTGTTTCCTGAAGGTGCTCCAAGCTTGCGGGTTTGTGAAATGTTAATTATAGAGGCACTGACCTCATGCCAGAAGTGAAGTTTCTCTTCACTGCGTGAACCGGATTTCCCTTCTCGATTTATAAACTTTATAAATAGCACCTTATTCCCCTGGGAAAGTACTGTCAATGAAACAGTTCAGTTCAGTCAGTTCAGATGTACTGTTTATAAGCAAGCGTAAGCCATCACAATATAAAACAAATACTACTGAACTAAAAGTCCCATTTTTAAAAAATCAAGCCAGATTTGGCAACCAGCTGCTTACTTTGCAACTCAGGATTTTTGCACACTTGGACTACGTGAGGCATAATCACAGATTACGAGCCCTGCTGGATTGGACTATCTAGCCCAGCATCCTGTTTACTCAGAAGTAAGTTTTAAGACCTCATCACAGAGAAACGCATGCAGCTATACTCATTGTCTTCATGACCTCAGTTCAGTTCAGTGACGCAGGTGGTGTTGTGGTCTAAACCACTGAGCCTCTTGGGCTTGCCGATCAGAAGGTTGGCAGTTCAAATCCCACCGACAGGGTGAGCTCCCGTTGCTCTGTCCCAGTTCATGCCAACCTAGCAGTTTGAAAGCACACCAGTGCAAGTAGATAAATAGGTACCGCTGAGGTGGTAAGGTAAACAGTGTTTCTGTGTGCTCTGGTTTCTGTCACGGTGTTCTGTTGCACCAGAAGCGGTTTAGTCCTGCTGGCCACATGACCCGGAAAGCTGTCTGTGGACAAACGCCAGCTCCCTCGGCCTGAAAGCGAGATGAGCGCTGCAACCCCATAGTCACCTTTGACTGGATTTGACCGTCCAGGGGTCCTTCACCTTTACCTTTTTACCTATATGTGACTATTTCATTTATTTGTCTCATAAAATACAATTGGGGAAATCAATAAAAATCCATATAAAACAACAAAAACAATATTCAAATAAGTATCCTTTTAAAGCTAAAAGAAAGCAGGCAAAAGCTATATACGACAGATAAAACTGAGCAGGGCAGAAAAAAGAAAATATTAGGAATTAGGAATCAGAGGCAGAGAGATATGTCTTTAAAAGGCTGTTTAAAGCTTAAGTTTATGACCAGGATGTCCCTGCCTCCCGTCTTCATTACAACTCTGGCTCTTAAGAATGCAGAACACTTTGAAGTTCTGATCGCACCACCTCTCCAGTTCAACAGTTCATCCTTCGCTTTGTCACATTCCCAAGTCTTTTTGTGAGAGAGGGTGAAGCGGTCATTTCCTGGAAAGTATTTTCACGCCCCCACCCAAATATGGAGCTTTGTACTGGACATCTAATGATTCAAACGCCACCTTCCCCAAAGTGATGACTTCTTCAGAATCGCCTTCAGAAGTTTCTGCCATCAAGAGATGAGCTAGAAGTATTGATGCATATATGAATAACGTCATTGGCTTTATTTCTACCTTCCTGTAAACTATTGGGCTACAATGCAGTCTGATGCCGGTAACCCAAGAAAGTCATGTGTATCATATATCTCAGGGAAGGTCTTATTACTTGTTCCATGATTGTTGTTTGAATCTCAGTTTGTTTTGAGCAGAGCTGAGTGTGACAACTATAGAGGATAAAGAAAAAGCCCTAATGTGAGAGGCATTAATACAGAAAGTAGCAGATCAAACCAGAACTGATGAGAAAGCTGGCATCTTTCCCTTTATGTACAAACAACACCTTAAATGGAGCTCACAAAAGAATTGGCACATCTCTGGGACATTTTTTGTGCATAGTTTAAAAATGTGTTGACTCAAACAGCAAGGATGCTTCCAGACCACTGCTATTTGGGGGTGGGATTCAGTTATACATCTGCAAACTTAGGCTGTTCAATTAAAGCTGCTTTGGAGTTGTTGCACAACAAAGCCACACACACACACACACACACACACACACTGAAACTTTCACCCCCTGCCTGAGCTTTTGAGATAATTCATATAATGGGAAATGCACAGAAAAGTGTATGATAACTTTTGCTGGAGGCAACATTGTCTAACCTCTCTACAAACAAATTGGACTGATTGGAAGTAAGATAGCTCAGTTGGTAGATCATGAGACTCTTAATCTCAGGGTTTGAGCCCCACATTGGGCAAAAGTTTCCTGCCTTGCAAGGGGTTTGACTAGATGAGCCTTGTGGTCTTTTCAAATTCTACAAGTCTATGATTTATGAACTCAACATGGTTTTTATTATTGTAACACAGAGAGAAATAAGTGTACCCCACCTTTTCTAATGGACGTAATTTAGATGTACAGAATTTGGGGGCCTTAATGCCATAACTCACTGTTCTTTGCAAATTTGTTATTCACCATAGCATAAAATACTGGTCATATTTTAAAAAACCCCTCAACTGACATTCAGTATTAATACCCAAACCTGGCAGCTCAATCAGTGACTCCAGAAACCTTAAGGCATCATTTCACAGACTATTATCAAAAATCATAAAATTAAAAGTCACAGCACATTGCCTTATATCAGGTGTGACCATTGGTCCATTTAGCCAGTGCTCTTTATCTAGAAAAAGAGGTGCCGGAGCTCACCATGAACTTCTCTCTTGTTCTCTTAGAATGGCAAAGGCACCCACCTGAGAAGTGCTGAGCTCTGGTGAACTCTAGCTGAAAAAAAGGCCTTGCATTCAGCTCAGGATTGTCAATTACAGTGGTACCTCGGGTTACATACACTTCAGGTTACATATGCTTCAGGTTACAGAGTCCGCTAACCCAAAACTATTACCTCGGGTTAAGAACTATGTTTCAGGATGAGAACAGAAATCATGCTCCGGTGGCACAGTGGCAGCAGGAGGCCCCATTAGCTAAAGTTGTGCTTCAGGTTAAGAACAGTTTCAGGTTAAGAACAGACCTCCAGAACGAATTAAGTACTTAACCCGAGGTACCACTGTAATAGCAATGGCTCTCCAGGATTCCAAACACGGAATTTTCCCTTGTCATACCTGGAGATGCCAAGAACTAATGCTAGAACTTTTTTTTTCATGCAAATCGTGTGCTCTGTCACTGAGCTACAGACTTCCTTCCCAAAGTGAAAAAGACAGCATAACAAATCCCTATTAATGGGGCAAAACTCACAGTTTTTTTTCAGTCACTGCAAACTGTAGAAGGCGATCTCTTTTCCTTTCATGTTTGTGTGCATGTGTAGATTTGAAATATAAGTTTCTCTACTTAGAAACAGAAACTTTGGAAGCCGTACTTGCTTTGCAGCGTTCCAAGATCTGCCTTGGCCAATGTAGAATAAATTGCCTGGAGCTGTTGCTGATTCACTTTTGACTTGAGTCGAGTGCTGTCATCGTACCATAGGAAGGAATTGAGAAAATCTGCATGTGAACCTGTCAGTTATTCTTTCGATGCTTTTGCCGAGGCCAAGTTTCCAGTTTATATATATTCAGCATGACTCCATTTTGTTTGGAATTCAGCACCAACCATATGCCATTTCAATTTTAACTTTAAAAGTCTAATCAGGTTTTGGTACACATTTTTACCTAGATACACATTTTTACCTAGATAAAGTATGTCTTAAAGAAAGTAGCAGAACTGTTATGGGTATCATATGTTCTTGCAGGCACACACACACACACAAAATTAAGTGATTTGGAATTTTGTACTTGCATTACATACAAGTTAATACTCATTTGCAGGGGTGGGGGGAACCAGTGTAGTGCAAAAAGCAACAACAACGTAAGTAAAGTTATGTTTTCTGAAAGCATCTCCTTATAGTTTGTCCCTGAGAAACACAAACTAGTATTTCTATCTTGCTTTCCACAACAGTGAAATCCCATAGATAACTGCCACCATATACAGTATGAAGTTTCTACTTTCTGTGTTCATATGTTCATAAAATCACTTTGAAAAAATTCAGCCTGACATTGTAGAGCATTGTTGAAGGCCCTATGCATCAATTCAGCCCTCCTCTTGTACTGTTTGTGTGGAGAGGTGTTGACAGAGATTTTGACACAGTGCATTTAGCTCCTCCCACAAGGCCATGCTCCGCCTCCTGCCCCTGTTGCTGTCATCAGGTTCAGCATTACAGCGGTACCTTGGTTCTCAAACTTAATCCATTCCAGAAGTCCGTTCCAAAACCAAAGCGTCCCAAAACCAAGGTGTGCTTTCCCATAAGAAAGTAATGCAAAATGGAGTAATCCATTCCAGACTTTTAAAAACAACCCCTGAAACAGCAATTTAACATGAATTTTACTATCTAACGAGACCTTTGATCCATAAAATGAAAGCAATAATCAATGTACTGTACTATAAAATAAATAAGACAGTATTGTAGATGATAAAAATTATTTTTTTTCCCTTACCTGCACTGATGATAGTCATTGTTTGGATGGGGGGCTTTTATCCATTTCAACAGTCACACAATCAATCAATCAGTCAATCAGTAGCCGAACTGGGTTCCACACAGCCACAAAAACAAAGTAACTGAAAAAGCCTCAAAAAACAAAAATGCAAAATAAATAGCAAAAACAAAAGTGCCAAACTTAATCCATTCCAGAAATCCATTTGAATTCCGAAATGTTCGAAAACCAAGGCGCAGCTTCTGATTGGTGCAGGCGCCCCGGAAACAATAGCCGACCACCGCATGAGACGTTCGGCTTCCAAAAAATGTTTGAAAACCAGAACACTTACTTCCAGGTTTTCGGCGTTTGAGAACCAAGGTGTTTGAGAAGCAAGGTACCACTGTACATCAGCAGTGGGAGGCCTTCACAGTGACTGGAGGCTCCCTCTGTGATTTTGAACCCTGGCCAATCAGGATCGGGCTTCTCATTGCAGACAAGCTAAACATTAGAGCAATGGTGGGGGCGGGTGGAGAAGCATTAATTCTGGATAAGCACACAGGCTGTAGTTTGTGACCATGTGCATGGAAAATTTGCAGAACAAAGTAATTATAGAAGTACAGTGGTACCTCGGGTTAAGAACTTAATTCGTTCTGGAGGTCGGTTCTTAACCTGAAACTGTTCTTAACCTGAGGTACCACTTTAGCTAATGGGGCCTCCCGCTGCTGCCGCAGCTTCTCATCCTGAAGCAAAGTTCTTAACCCAAGGTACTATTTCTGGGTTAGCAGAGTCTGTAACCTGCAGCGTCTGTAACCTGAAGCATCTGTAACCTGAGGTACCACTGTAGCTGTGTCACCAGGCATCCTACATGGTTAAATAATCTAATAGCTGCCTGAAGAGCAATGCTTGTGTGATAGAGAACTCTGTATTTTGGAGCAATCCTGTAAATGTATTCTCCCAGGTAAGTGGATATGAGATAGCAGCCTTAATACCTCTCCATGTAGAGGAATACTTTACTTAATGACATGGTAACTGCATTCTTCATGTTAAAAAATAAATTTAAAAAGCACTGGCAACTGTATCTAAACAAGTTTCTGTCTTTATTTTGAATGGAAAAACTCCAGAATTCCTGCCAAATGTGTGTTCCAAGTTTCAGAAACTCCAAGAAGTTTGTCATGCCAACTGGGTCACTGAAAGGCTGCCTCCACTGTGGCAGGATTGCATCTGGCCTGTCCTTTTGGGTGTATTTTTTCTTGCAGAACTTTAGATAAATATAAAGATTGTTTGTTTGTTTGTTACATTTTTTACAATACTCCATATGTTGAGAGAGAGAGAGACGAGACAGCACTCTTCAGCTTTAGGAAATGTTTGACAAAGCTGGGCTGGTGTTTGGGGGAATTAGTTTGAAATATATTCTTTTTTTTCATAAACAAGTTCATAAAGAAGTGACTTTTATTTTAAAAATCAACAGTATGGTTTTTGGAAAGAGGAGGAAATGTATACAATTATTTCCCATTTCCGTGGTCTCTCTACACAAAGGACAATGGGCCAATTCACATTATCGGACTAGCATGGGACATTGTTGTGTTCAGAGCGTATTATGTGGTAAAGAGATTAGCTCATTTCAGACCCTTATGCTGTTCCTCTTAAGCACACATACAGTGTGGGATGTGACCCTAGTCCTGATATAGACCCTGATATAAATATGTTCCCATTTGCAACATATCCATGCATGTGCACACACCACAGAAATGTGAGAAACATGCATCCGTTTCACTTTGCCACTGTTAGCCACTTCCTTGCTTGACTTGCTATTTAAATGCTAAGTATTATTGTTATGACAATTATATTATTATTATTATTATTATTATTATTATTATCTTGGAGACTGTGGTTTATTAAGTTTGCTGGGAATTGTAGCTCTGTAAGATGTAAACTACAGCTCTCAGATTCTTTGGGAGAAGCTAAGTGCTTTAAATGTAGGGTGTGGGTGTGTTTGGGGGGGAAGACACTTGGAATAGCTGTAATCTTTTGGTTTTTTGTGGTGGACAGTCTATGATTGTGCTCAGGTTTGAGAAAGGAATCAGTGGTAGTGCTGTTCTGCAGTCACTTGCATGATGCTGGCAAGTTTTTGTGTGGCCCTAGACCAGCAAGTCTGATGAGTTCTTATATATAAGCTCCTACCAGCATCTGCCCTGCAGGGCTGGTTTAAGATGGGTAATTACAAAACAACCACAAAATCAAAGAATGAGTAATGGCATAAAGAACATACGGTACGTAAATAACTGCAATTTGAGGGGGTTCTTTTAAAAAGAAGCCCCAAAGATGTCTTTCTCGGCAGAAAAAGGCTGCAAAACTAGGGCCTCAGATGTTTCTTCACTTAGATGTGCTACCCAGTTTCCTCAGTCAGATCAGAAAGCATTCTGCCGACCTAAATAAACTTACCCAAGATGCCCTTTCTCTGCACATAGAGTCTTCTGTAGTTCCAGGACATCAGTTGCAGTTTCGGAATCCCCAAAAGAGAATTGTTGAAAGAAAAATAACGTATCTATCCAATTTCTGGTTACTGTCAGGCCCAACTGTAATATTGCAATTGCATTGAGGACAAATTTAAAGCAGACAACCAAAGATTAAATCCAGACATGGTAGTGATAGAGAATTTCTTCAAGAGATTTCAGATATTTATACCCTATCTGTACTCCAAATGGGTTTGAGTGAAATTCATGTTCCATTGTGGTCAACAGCAACATTTTTAGATGTTGCTCACAACCTTTGTATCTGCTGCAGCAAATATTTAAATTATGTC